TATATATATGGTTACATTGGAAATTGTACTGGCAACGTTGGTAATTGGTGGTACAAATGGTCGTTGCGTGTCATACATCTCGACTGTTGAACCAACGTGATTGGTCACGTTGGCCATACCCGCCAAAGTTAGCATTGTGGAACGCACTTTTCTGTTCTTTATTTTATCAGATTTTCTTTCTTCATGAACATGAGTGAAGGAAGAGCAAGAGGTGAACAGGACCAATGTAGTGGCGATGTTTATACATACATAAACGCAGGCGTACGTACACCGTCGTGAATGAATACACGACCGAATGGAATGGTACTATTTTTGGACGGGTATGCATTGTTATGATTGCTCGTATTACTGGCCGTCGATTGTTGCCGCATGTAACGGGCGCGCGACGGCAGCTATTGTTCTAAGAACAACGCGTAGCGGTTGTGCCAATGCCCTAGCACGTATTCGGTATTACGAAACGAATAACGACGACGAGTTGATGTCATGTCGCCAGCAAAATAGATGTGTATTTTCGACTGGAGTGAGATAGAGAGCAAAATACGGCTGACAACTGCGTAATAGCACGGCCAGGAGTCGTCCTTTCTAGATAATCGATGACAGCTCAGATATCGTGGGGAGTTCGTAACGGCCAGTTGTGTCGATTTGTTGATGTGGGTAACCAGTCGCAAACCGTTAAGATCACTGGTGAGCAGTCCATCTTTTTCCTTGAGTCTGCCCTTCCGTCTTTTGGGGACTTGGCTAACAGCTATCGCTGTTACTAACGCTAATGACAGTCCCGTTTCTGTTTCACGAACGGCACTTGCTGATGGAATTGCTGTTTAAGCAACGATAAATTTAAGGCGTTAATTGCGCATCCGTTCGTGCATTCATCGTCGTCAACGCTGCAGCGGGATAGAATAGCTAGGGCAATAAAAATGCTGCTTATAAAAATTACCATTGCTATATCAATAAGGCGTGATGCACCATGGAGCGTCGTGACGCGTTACCACATTGACGATCACGACTGTTGTCGAATATTGTGGTCCCACCCCGAGAGGGCAACCACAGCCGTGAAAGGCGGGGTCCATAAAGCCTACGGTCTCAATGTCGTTGCTGTTGATGTTCAAAGCGCGTAACCAGTAGGATAAAAGGATCTTATATGGAGGCTTCTACGGCCTCATCCTCGCACTGATATCCAATGGCTCTACAACACTTTCTACCTATTTATTGTATAACTGCGTATTTTTGAACTGGGCAAAGGCGAATGCTCAGTGAAAGTTCTGTCTGGACTGTCCAATCGAAAATCATCCGTACTCTGCAACAAAAGCTGAGATATCTGTCACACTGTGACACCCGCCCGTGCACTATTGGCGACGCTATTCGCTGAATTCATTGAATAGAATGGGGTACATTACCTTAGCGTGTTACTTCACGTACCCTATTGTGCCTAATTGCAGCATCTTGCCGCCGGTAAGTACGTATCATTCGGAATAGCTGCGGCCCACATATTTTCGAGATTGTGCCGACTGAGCTCACGTACGCAATGCAGAACATTGCTACATGCAAAATTCGAAGCTATTGCCAAGGTCAGTGGGTACAGCGCCAGCCGACCGAGACGCAAGCCATTTGACCAGAACTTAGATAAATACCATGTTGGTATTTATGCCCAACTCTTAATCAAAGGTAAACATCAGGTGGAATTAATTATATTCAAATTATTCACACTTTTTATGGTGTGGTTTTTGTGACTGTGCGTACTAGTGCAACAGAAAAAAAAAAACAAAAGGGGTAAAAATAGTCTAATCTTAATTTACTTTCGTTTGTTCTGAATGTTTCTCGACGACATTTGCAGTCCGCGGTTTGTGATCAGAGTTAGGGTATTATCGATGATTGTTAGGTACTACAAAGTGATGAAAGTTACGAAAATGCAATAGATTATTTAACGAAAAGCCGCGTCGAACTATGCTGGGTCATAAAAAATAACATTTGATCGATATCTGCATGATTAGGTCTGCGGTAAAGAAATAGTAGCCTAGTAACTAGATCTAATTCGTTGTAGCATATCATAGTAAATACTGGATTTGTCACGCAATTGTCTTTGCAAAGCCGTTTGGTACGTAAAGTCAGTTTACGTTGTGTCCGTAAAAGTGATGACTGCTTGTGAAGAGATAAGATGCTGAAACCGAAAATACGATTATGATTAGGCGTTCGGTTACACGTTACTAAGAGAAAACAAACTCTGCTGAGGCAGAAAGTCGTCTTGTACGCGAAGTCACTGATCTAGATTCATTCCAATACGATGCTTCACAGGCGAGGCGGGCCGGGCAGATAGACGAACATTAGGCTGAAATGAAGTGCCCGACCAATTGAATCTGCGGTCTTCACGCTTTGTTTGTTGGATCGACTTGAGGTTTAGTCGACTATACTTCGAATGACTGTAATAAAAGCACGAATCATCAGGCATGCGCTAAATAGCAAACTTTCTCGTTTCTAAGACGTGTAGTAAGCGCGCTTGCCATATATTCATAATATGAGATTTTTCGATACCACTTACTTAAGAAATGATCCTATTCAGCGTACATCTGTTTAGCATAAAATGAAAGATGGCTAACCACAACAAAATCGCCATATGTTAGTTGCAAACGTCTGATTGGGTTGATTTAGCAGCGGGTTGCGTCTTTTTCGCATTGCTACATAAAGTAGTGATCACTAAATAGCTTTCGCAAAAAGATATGACCAATATTAAAAGCAACCGCTTTCTACTTAATGATCTCCGCCGTATTACGAAAGCACTATATTACTTTTATTATTTCGGCTACTACATTTTGCATGTTTCGTTTCTTGACGTGGAACTACATAAGGGAAGTTCATAGTCTAGTTGCTACTGTCTCCAAGCTAGCTATCGAACTAAATGAGCATTCTAGTCGCAAAAGGCACTGACAAAGCCCGAAGATATATTGTGGGCTCCCAACATGGTGAACCTTTTTCAGTCGACCCGTAGTCCACGGCAGAATGGGTCCAGCAGTTCCAAATTGCAGTGAACCAGGCGACCGCGCCGCGGGTCGTTTTCGATGGTAGAAAGTAGGAAAAAGTCAATCACAGCTTGTTCCATTTATCAAAGATTGCGTTGCATCTCATCTATATAATCATGATGTATCAAAGACGCACCTAATCCAATGCATAATAGACAGGGTTCTCATGTGCATGATAGTAGCTTTTACCAGGTGCACCAAATTCACATAACGTAAGGTATTGTATATCGTTCAACTGAACAGGACTGCTGTCGTGACAAAAAAGGATTTAGGATCTTTTCGGGGTCAAATTCGGCTTCAATTTGTCTTGCGCAAACATGTCGAATCTCCCTGTACAGTTCCGCAATACTTACTGATTCACCATCATTCAGAAATATAGATCCTATCAAATACAGTCAGTAAGGTCGAGTGGCGAAAGCATTGGATAGATAGTCGGAATAGCATCAGTCAGCGGGTCCCAGAATTATAACAAAATGTTTCAAAGGGCAGGGAAATCTAGTTTTCTATTTTTGTTAGTTTTCTTTTGCAGAACTAGCTTGACCTGAGATTTCATATATGGGAGTGACTGTGTAGCTATCACAAAATATTAGCGATAATAACCCGAATCACCTGTGGCCACGGAGAGATTAGTCATGCTCGTCGCGGCCTTTGGGTGGGTCGTAGATAGACGACGTACATTGTTGTGCAATGGGTCACGCTGATGATATTGTTTATGTTTGACTGTTGTATCTTGTTGGGTGCTGTTTTGTTGGTCTGATGACGCTCATTTGCATGGATGCGAATTTGCAACTTTTGCACCGACAAAGGTCCCCGTCGGCGGTAGACAGCCAGCGTAAATTTTATGACGGTAAGAGGCCAATATCTCGTAGCTGCCTCTTTATGACAACCACCGGTTTGTTCCTCTCTTGGACTTTTTTTTTTGGTGCTGGGCTTACAATAACTATTGCCGTCAATGTCATTTAAGGCGAGTCATTTAAGTTGGGCTTATTATACCCCAGAAGTTCACTTGTCGTCAGCTGTCACGGCGACTTTTGCTGTTACTGGTTTTCGTGAGCTTTCGATCTGAGGCCTGTTTATTACGCTTTGTTGTTGGTCTATAAAACTACTATATATATCTTATGTTCGCAGCGTGGCATCTAAACATATTATTTACATAGCCAAACAACAGCAACTAATATTGAAGCTAACAACATTGGATAACGCAGTCACTAGAAAACATCTGTATAATCACCAATTATTAAAGAAGAATATATATTAGTGTGAAGACTCTTGACTAGAGCATACCTCCAAATCGAGTATTCAATTACTATTATATATAAAATTACTATTATTCAATTACGAGTTAACCTAATAAAAATCTTCACCGACACGGTCATGTGGCCAGTGTTGTATTGTGAGTTACTCTATTTCAAAGTAACGATGGTCTTGCTTCTATTCACCAGAGACGCTACTAGACGGTTGTACGTCAAGGGCTATTGTATCGTACATCTTAGCTTATTCTTGGATGGAACTATTCACTGGTCGCCATAAGATACCTTTTGGGCAACAATTGTGAAAATTAGCTATAATCCGATTGACCGATCGATTTCCAGCCTTTTCGGTGGCTTTAATTTGACACTGTAGAAACGAAACTTCGATGTCTAACGACAACTAATATACTATGTTAGGCTGGGGCTTTTAAAAGAAAGAAAGACACTCTTCGCGTACCATGAAGACTGAAGGCTATGAAACATGAAAGAATGCTGAATATCTCGCTACAGCACTTAAAGCTCCAAGCCTGGTTCTATTCAATAAGATTTTTATCATTCTATGTAAATGTTGCAAAGGTGGAACTTATCAGGGGATGTCTGACGACTTTTTGTCGCTCGTTCGTAGAAGAGAGATAGTCAGATCATATACGATTTATATGAGCTGGGCTCGTTTTACAAAACTCTAAATATAATATCAGGCAGAAACTTCCTTTCGATGGAATTCTCGACGTCGCTATTCCGTGACAAACTATCCTAGTCGAAAGAAATATGTTTGTCAAACTTTTTTACACGATAAAGGGCACTCTATAAAATGGTTTTGCTTTTGTGTTTTTTTAACTAGTTTATTACTTTTTTACACGATAAAGGACACTTTATAAAGCGGTTTTGCTTTTGTATTTTTTTTTTTTACTAGTTTATTGAATTTAATCGCATGAACTGATTTTACAAACCGACGACACATCTGGGATCGCCTTTTGCGACGACGTTGTTTGTTTCGTTCGATTTCTATGAGACCTCTCTATACGTACGTTAACTTCTTTCATAACTCAGATGACCCCTTCAAAGTTTTGTCTGAAACAGTTTTCGGACATCGGATAGTGACAACGAAGTGAGTGACATATTTCAATTTTGACAAATAGAGAAGTGTATTTTATGACCAGTTTGTTTTATTGTATTTTTCAAAGACCCAGAGGTTATTGAAAAGCTGAAAGGTGAAAGGGGACGAAATCGTTGCCTGACAAATGTCATGTACAAACAAGCCTTGTAGATGTCTGGCGTAGGCTAAGCTTTAATGTGATTATTCAATAACGGTCTGACGAAAGCTGATCTCAGTCGATAATTAACCAATATTTTTGACTGGCTCAATAGTCTGCGGATATCTAAGCCAATTGGCCTATTTCTCCTCATCGCAAACTGACCTAACTAGAGTCGGAATCAGTCTAGGCGAAGCTCAAGTTGAAGAAGGACTCTGTTGATGGCGAGAGCTCGTTCCTTTCATTAACCGCAAGCTTTAAAATATGTAGTGCATGTTTAAACCCCTTCCAGTGAAGCAGCCATAGATTAGCAACTGCAGAAGTAGGCCACTCCTTTCTAAACTATGTCGTATTTTTTTTGTGAAACTTCTTTCTACTTTTTTGTGAAACCTGGATCTAGGTTGTCTACCGCTGTGACGTCTCAGAATAGTCTTAGGAAAGTTTAGCGGGCATGGCAAAGCGGACAATAATGAGGCATAGCAGATATAAATCAAGGTCCGTTCACGATCCGTTTTACATATAAATGCATTATGTTTTAGTGTTGTTACCTTGGGTCAAGCGAAGTTGCATACAAAATAGCTGTTGCTTGGGGTCCACAAATTCTTTATATCTGTGTCGATCGTTCAGAATACGTCGTTATGAAAGGTTGTACTTGTTCTATTTGGTTTTTCTTATCTTCAAGATAATTCTTGCTCTAGTGTTCTTCCGCTGGCCGCTTGATTGACAGAAACCAGCGCATAACTTGGACGTAAAAAGCATTTCCATAGCTCCTACACTACCTTTATTCTCGTTTTCATTACACATGCATGTTTTCCACCAGTATAAATACTACATATTTGAAGAATATCTATTTTTGTATCTATTAGATTAGTTGACAAGCTTCGTCCGTAAATGTACGGCACAGTCGGCTCTTGGCAATCTGGCAGGCAATCTGAGAAGCTGCGTTCCATTTTGCAGCAATGCCAAATCAGGAAGGTAATGCTTAACTTTGATTTCGGTCCATAGGAAGTCAAAACTTCGTTGCATTGGCTTCAACTACGGCTCACACTTGAGCAATAACAAGTAGATACAAATTTATTGTCTGTTTGGTCGTATAAACGCAAATAAGTAGCCGCGTCAAGGGTTACGTTTACCCATGTTGTGACCTTTTCACGGCGCGATTGAACCTTTGAACTATTGTCAGCAGAAAAACACGAAGACCTCAGCTAAAAACGATCTGGTCCCGTTTTTCTCTTTGATACACCAGCTCCGTATTCAACACTGTATTCAGACTAGTAATTAGTATGCCCCGATAACGGGGTGGCAGTTCGTTGTATTGAAGACAATCGCATATTTATTGTTAAAATTTGGGGAAGTAAATGTTTCTGCGTTGGTGTGTTTTCCTATCAGGAATTGTACAAAGGCCAACGCTCAATTTTTCTTCGCATCGATACGCCTCCTTTCCTCCCTTCATACTGGCACATTAACGAACTGGGTTGAATTAGACTGACTACGACATTTCATTTCGGTCATTTTTGTAACGTTTTTTTTAGCGAAAAATAGCGGACGAACGTAGCTACAGACGAAACAATATCGATATCACAGCCAGAAAAAATATTTTTAAAAAAATGTTCAATAATCAACAAGGGATTCACTCTTCTATCTGTTGATAATTATTATTTTTGAATGCATTCGCACGTGGGTCATACAGTGAGTGAAAAAAACTATTCCGATTTTTTGAGAATTAAATTTTTACAGACGAGTATTGAACCAATAATACGTTAATGCAATATTTGTTTTTTTTCCAAAACCGTCCAAGAGTGGTCATCTTTACGTTACACAAATGCAGCATTTTTTCAAAAAAATACAAAAAAAAACCATTTTTTTTCTACTTATGAGATATCTATAAACGGGTATATTCGTAGATGACATTCGTTTTTGGGTAAAACGTGCGAGTTTGTTCGCCAGTATGCAAGTGCAAAAAAGGGCATCATCCTATATATACGTAGGGATTGAACTAGGCGAATACCATGAGCGGGTTCCTTGCTTGCGCTACCAGTATGAAAGATTGTTTTGGGTCCGCTAGAGGGCCACATAAGCGACTCGATCGACTAAGTTGCTGTATTAGAGGAATTAGCAGCACTCGGCCTGTCCCCGCCAAATGTTCGAAAATACAGTACCGTATTGGAACCGTAATAATCAACCATAATGCAAAAGGCCGATTCGCTGAGGTGGACTATGTTACTTTTATTACAGTTTGATGAACGGTTATTAACCAGTAATTCATATAATACGAATTCATATAACATAATACGAAGTAACTTTAAGGAAAAGCTGGTGATTATGAACTATACTATACTTTCGGGTTTAATTTCCTAGACACGGTCTATTACTTACTACGATTCTCAGGTAAATTAACGATATGTAATTCGTTATAATAATTATAGTAAACATTAAATTCTTCGCTTATCTGTAAGATCTCTAAATGTAGTGCTTTTCTGCAATAATACTCATACATTATTTTAAGTTGCAGATAGCAATTCGTTCTGTTTCATAGATTAAATTAGCATTAACAATTCGTTTTGGAGCTGAACTACAGTACAGAGCGACACTCAATTCGACGTAGAGTGAAAAAAATCTTTAGTTAATTGGTAAAAAAAAGGTCGTGCGGTGCCGCTATAAACTGAAAGATCAGACGAAGAATAGGCACATCTATCGGACGGACGCGGAGATGCAGCCTGGCTTTATTAGCACGCCCTGTAATTAACAGCTTGATTTAGCTGACTAGCCCATAATATTTCCCTTAGCTGACTTACACGATGTAACAGTGCCCTCAGCTGACTTACACGATGTAACAGTGCCCTCAGCTGATTTTACAGCCTCCTATAGAACTCCAATATTTAGCTTTTATTATTATTTCATTCAAATCTATAGGTGAAAACACGCAACATTGTACGGACCACGATGGCTACGGAACAGCGGTCGTTTTCGTCCCTTCGTGAGGAGATGGAATACTACAAGGCAAGGCTTGAAGAGACGCAAACGGAGTTCGAGGAATTTCAGCAGGGATCGCGAGTATGTCTTGCCTAAAGCTGAAGAACGAGCTTGGAGGCCCCTTAAAAACTAACCTAGGATCATTATCTAGTAACTCATAGATTATTTGCACCAAAATTCCAGCAAACGTGGTAACAAACCAGACTCTAACAAAAATAGATAGACAGGACATCCTGTCTTAACTCATAAATCAGTTGCGTATAATTCCTTAATTCTGTTGGTATTTATCATTTTTTCCGCTCTAGGAGTTAGAGACAGAAATGGAAGCTCAGCTGGGCTTGCTGGAAAAAGAAAATGTCGAGTTAAAGCGAAACCTTCATAAGGTCGAAATTGAAAGGGACGTATACGCCGAAAAGTTAGCCTTTGGTACCAACCAACTTAAAGACCAGGTATTAACAAGAAATATTTATTAATTATTACGCTATTGCTCAACGGTTGTTCCTTACTAGCATTTTTTTAATACCAAAAAAAGCAAATAGTTCGAACTTTACATCCGGTACTATTTCACAGTTGTCGTATGTTAGTACCACAAGAATAACTTTCTTTACCCAGACAAACTTGATACCACCTCAGCTTACTAAGCGGTACTTGAATGAGTGCGCAATATGTACTCTTACATGAGTTACATACCGGCCTTGCAGTTAGCTATCATACCAAATCAATGCCATCGAAACACGGAAGCCGGCTGCATGTTTGCCGATGTCAAGCAATAACATTTGCTAAATTACTGCTTTTTTTTTCACATGATTCTTACCCTCAGCTGGAAACTTTGGAAAAGGAATTACTGGAGGAACGCGACGTGAATGAGCGGCTTATTCAACAGATTCGCGAGCTGGAACAGGACAACGACGATCTGGAACGGGCCAAAAGAGTATTGGCAGCCTCTCTTGAGGAGTTTGAAACACGGTTAGAGTCGACCTCATACGCACTCGTAACGGTGCATACAACAAAATAACCTTTGATTTGATAGCCCTTTCTTCAGTTGATAATGATTTTCTAGTCACTGTCTAATTAAGCAGTAGCAAGAACGGATGTTCATTCTGTATACTGCTAGCTTACGGGCGGTGCTTCGGCCCTTGGTCGTTTTTTTGAATAAGCGGTGAGTGGTAATAGGATTTTCTTCAGGCATAACCATCTCCGTGGATTTATCTTGTAGATAATACATTCTCATGTAACTTCGTGGTCTGAAAGATTGCATTCATGAGTAGGTGTTTTATGATGCTTTCTGTCATTTGATTAATTCTTGTTATCGTTCCGTGAAATCCACATTTGTAAAGGAATTATTCTGGAAACAAAATTTTGGTAAGCATTACCTAGTTACTAATGGCTATTTCTCTCGTTTCCTATCCCAGGTACCATTCATGCATCATTAGAGGCCAACTGGCTATCATTACCTCGTTGACATCAGTTGCTATTCTATGATGTTTCAAATCTAGTTGTAAACACACACACACACACAGTGTGTATTGGACAATATTCGCTAGCAACACCCAAAGACAAGCTTTATATCTGGTATATTGTGTACTTCCTAATATACGACTAAAATTACAGAGTTAATCACGCTATTGAAAGAAACGCTTTCCTGGAAAGCGAACTTGACGAAAAGAACGAACTTCAGTGTCTCGTCCAACGCCTAAAGGTAAGTGTCTAAACTCAGATGTGTCAATTGTACGACCCGTACAACAGTATCTTTGTGAAATACATACTGACATATTGTCCAGATGTTGGCAGTGTACGTAGCCCCATAAGAAAAATCCCTATAAAACCATCGATAATATTAAACAGATGCGAGTGTGGCATCAATATGCACATGTTGCGAAAAATATGAGCATTGTGGAGGCACTGGGGCAAGATTAGTAACGAGAAGCAGTTCATATAACACTAGCTTGCGTTTCTTTTTCTTACCTCGTTATGACTGATACGATTTATTAGGATGAGGTCAGTGATCTGAAGCGTGATGCGGTTGTACGGAATCGTCAGGAGCGGAATGGCTCTATAGGGAGTAACGTGGCGGGTGGCACACCCGGTCTTCCCAACCTCGCCGGAAGCCCAAGTTTTCACAATCATCAGCAGCGAAAAAAGTGAGTCTTTCTTTAGACAATCAATTTTCTCATGTTCAGCTAGCATATAACGTGACGCAAAGTTATCTAACGGACTTGCTTTTAGCCTACATACTGCTTTCTAAAATGGACAGATGCTGCCAACATCAACAGGACAGATGCTTTAGGATAAATTTTATTCATTTTCGACTTTTCAAGTTAACCAGCGAAAACTAAAATTAGTATACAGTATATTGAAAGACAACCAAGGTTGTCTTATATCTATATATATATTATATATATATATATATATATTGCGTTATTATCTTTAGGTTTTTACATCATCTATACCCCATTTTATATCAATAGATTCTTTCACGTCATCCATAATAACGTCGGAAAAGACAGATATCTACACGAGGCTAATTTTTGTTCACATCGGTTGAATCTGTACTTAATACTTATTTAATTTAGCGGTTTAGCAGTTGCTTCAGAACGGATATTCGTAACTTTTGTTTCATCAAGAATTGGGCCCTCAGAGCGGCACATCGAGGACATCGATCACTACCATTGTGTTGATTTGTTGTTTGAAAAATTGGGTAAAAAGAAAAACATCGTTTGTTTATTTTTCTTAAAATATTTTGTGTTCTTGTTTGTTTTTCTCTTCTTTTCCTTTATATTGTCGTTCGGTTCGATTTGATGATTCAACTTTATTGAATCCTTTAGCAGCAGGACGTCGTTGGCGTGCTGTAACGTGAGTCGCAACATTTGAGTACATGACGGTGAGGGTCTATCGGAAAGCTGCACTCACCCCTCCTTTTTCCCTATGTTTTTAGATAATTATTTGGGGTCTTGAATCATTTTGTCTCTAGAGCACAGTATGAATATTACCGCTGGCCAAGTTTTGGCTTAGCTTTACCCTATATTCTATAGGGTTCAAGAACGCATTGCGGGTCGTCGTTGCGTTCTTGAGTTGACAATTCTGCCAGTTTGCCAGTATCAACTGCTGAAAGGCGACAATCACGATCAATATTTGATTGATGAGTTGGGATAATATATGGCAATCGAAAATCCCTTGCACTATGGTAACTAATTTCTTGCACGAATGTCCGACAATATGGATGAAACAAAGTCTTTTGCTTTATTCGGTAGTAATTGTGCTAAATGAAACGTGTCACCTATGTCGTTCTGTGTATATACAATGTAACTTATTATTTTGTGGCTTCTCTGTGAGTCAAGATCCAAGGAACCTGGTTTTAATATCGCTATTGCTAGAGACGCTAAATGAGAACACCAAAACGTATAAACTTGTGGTCTCAAGCTTTGGGTTTACCTTTAATGTGATCACACGAGGTCTATACGACCTATGTTGATAGTCGGGTTAAGTATATCAAGCTGTTCTCATAGATCATAAAAACGTCCTGTTCTTTCCGGCACCTATCTAGTTAAGTGCATATATTCACTTGATGGTATCTAATACAACAAAGTTCTAACAATAAAACAGAATGTAATTTTTAATTTCGACTAATGATCGCTTCGTGTCTCACATTAACATCAACTGTCATATAACTGTACTTGCAAAACAACTTGATGTTTCTTTGTTACGTGCCCTAGGTCACTAGCGGCCTCCTCCCAACGTGGTTCTGCGGAGGATGTTCTCGGCCCCGGGACAACAAAGGAGCACGCGGTCCTCTTTTCCGCGGCGGAGCACCAAGTCAGCTCCCTACCCCCATACGGCGGGCACCCGCCTCCCCAGGGATCTCAAAACCTGCAAGGTCACCAGCGAAGATCGACCATCAACCCGCACAGCAGGACAAACGCCCTCAACATCGTCAACGACCTGCTCAAGAGGGTCGGGGTAGGTTTCGGTTTGGAGGGAATTCGCTCCTTGTAGAACTTTACCATAGATTTGTTTTCTTTGAAAATTAATCTAACCTAGTAAACTCACAAAGGCTAGTATAAATTGAAATGAATGAGGGCCGAACAAAAACAAAAACACATGTCAAGTTAAGCACGTTGCGAGCTAATGAATGAGTTCTTAAACTAGTGCATCCATTAATTTACCGATGTCCGTATCTTATCGGGGCACTCGGTCGGTGGCCTTTTTTCTAAAGACTATATGCAGTCTATTTACTAGATAAGCACTGACCTTAATGGCTGCTCTATAAGATTTGTGTGAATGCCTTAAAGTGCTTTGTTGAGTGACCAGTGTGTGTAAAAACAAATCTGCGTACTGATATTTCCGCATACATTTCAGGAGCTGGAAACTAAGATGGCGACAGCCCAGTTTTGCATGTAATTAAACAACTACCACCCGCTGATATATTGTGGAGATTTGCTTCTAGCACGTTTCATATTTGGTCGCTATCAAGTGAGTACAACAAATCCCACAGATTCGTGAAGTGACAAGTATAGATATTATAGAGCATTTTTTAAATATGAGCCTGCAAAATCCATTTTTTGGTGGTGGTGGTGGTGGTGGTGGCGATGCGAATGCCAGGCCTGTCCAAACCGGCCATTGCCACCTATTGAAAGTAGGACAAATTTTGGATGATTGAATAAAGAGCACAGACGGCTGCTAACAACAAACTGGTTCTGAGGCAGTCGCTATCGTTGACCATATTACTAGTACGGTTGCTCTAGCAGTAGCCGACTTAGTATATCCGAATGCTCTCCGATACCAAGACACCAAAGGTGAAGTGCGCATGGCATTCATATATTTATGGTCATCGGTCAAAAGTCTCGAAGTAAGTAACCATTGTCATCATTTCTATTTATTTTTCTCTATGAAAATCGCTTAGATAGCTAAGTCATTAAAATTAGTACAAAACCAAATGCTTGTTACGTGCTCTATCTCAGTGTCCACTTAGTATCCGTGTATATTTATGACACCTAGTCATTTATACATTAAATGTATGTCTGTGTGTGCTCGTATGTTGGAGAATGTGTATGTAGCAAAAAAAAAAAAACGTCTTGCAAGTAGTCGGAATGAAATTACTATAAAAGCAGGCGACAGTGCTACATCTTCTTGTGACAATACCTCGCCAATTAAATTCGTTTTTTCATTACATCCACAATGCGTACATCGGGTGAACCAGAGATCGCCGTGCCGTGGTAGTTAGAAATTAACAGTTTTGCAAAAAAACTTATCGATACGGTCCGAATTGTACGGGGACATTTCGTTTACGCTGTACATAATAGCAAACCCTGGTAAACCCATGATTTCTCCTTAAAGTGTAGTCATATCGATCACCTTGATCGATAGGTTCCAATGATTTAACATTTGACTGTGATTTAATCTCATTATGTATATTACGCCGTGGGCGACTAATAACCAGCGCAATAACGTGTGCTTATTTAGACAAAACAAAATCATAACATCACTATACGAGGAATAATTATTTCGATTCTATTATAATTTAGTATGAGTTCTTCTGAAATAGGAACTACTCGTCTGCATTCTGTTACAGTTGATTAAAGAATTTATTTAGCAGTCCGTTAGTTTATTTTTCGAAGATATGTTAGTCTATGCCGTACTAACTGGTGCACGTTATTTATGTTTATATCAATTTATATATATATGTTTAACGATGAGGGCATATTGGATGTGGTAGGCTATCTAAAATAATGAAACAATAGTTCTTGAAATGAACACAGTAGATAGCAAAATAAAAAATGAATAAATAAAAATAAATAACTATAAGATTCATCAAACCTTGCTTATTTCATTCATTGTGGATTTTCACTGCTCTCTCTCTCTCTCTCTCTCTCTCTATATATATATATATATATATATATATATATATGTATACATATATATTGCTTACCATCCTCAACAAACGAATATATTCGAACTTCGGTGATTTTTCGAAAGGAGCGAAGGTTTGTAAAGTGATTAGGAAAGTAGAGGTTTTTTCGAACTTGTCGTTAGTGTGGAGGCTTATAGAAAGGAGTCGAATTTTACAAGTGATTATTGTATAGCGGGAAAAGGCATTCAGCTAAAAGTAGGAACTCTGTGTATTCCTTTAGTGCGATTTCGATGAGCCTTCACTATAAGTTAAAATCAAGTTTGCGACAACTGCCAATTGGATGGATTAAAGATCTTTGTTTTTTCTTTTACGCCTCATTCTGGAGTTTTGTCTTTGTTTGCACGAAATACAGCCCTTATCATAACGTCTGCTTATGCCTTGCAAAGATTAAGTTGAGTTTGCCGAAGATTCTGTTCTAGGCACTCCCAGTAAATTGCTAGTACTAGCTTTCAATTCAAGGAAGAATGGCGTTTTCGAGATAAATTTCAGCGGAAATAATTACCCCTGAACATTTCTTTTCCCGTCTCACACAGCGATCTTATTATATTTAATTGGCCCGACTCGTAACAGAACAGACGTTTTCGGAATCGTCACGTTATTACATGTCAGGTTTTTATTCAGTACGTACCTTTAATGTCCCGACACGAAAGATTAATCTCGGTCAGTTAATTAAGGTAAGATTCGGGTATGTGCTGTTATTCAGAGTAAGAGTTCACTTTGTTTTAAACAGTTTAAATCATTTGATCTGTTAACGAAATGAAGAAAAACAGAATCAAGATCAAAATTTAACAGCCTACAAAATATCCACCATTCTGTCGCATTATATTCCTGCTTTTTTAGCTTCTGTCTTCGTCTCACTTTCGCACGAATCTCTGCTTCCCTTTCGCCTAAGGATGTATTTTCGCTAACCTTCAATAGATGGAGCTCCTCGATGGAAAAGCCCGCTCACAATCCCGATAACGTAACAACAGAGGCGCCCACGAAAGACGATAACGATAGAAAAAAAAACATGAATGGATGCAGTGGCTGCAAAATGGACGACGAGACGCTCTGAAAAAGTAGACAATGGACTACAGTCACTTGAAGTCACAAAGAGTTAAGGTAAGCGTCTAACTGCTACGAACAAAATCATCAGATGCATTAGTATCAGCAGCGATAGCACTGGACGTAAAACTCGAGGTATTCAATTTTAGCAATGACAACGACCGCGAAGGCTCATGAGCTGGTGGTGTAGCTGCCCCAAAAGCAGGCCAGGGCGACGCATGCACGACGTAAGCAGATCGAGAAACAGTGGCTGCTAGAAAAAACAAAGCTGTAATTAGCTCAAGGTACCCGTCGGCGCCATTATCGAATCCTTGCATTGACGGACATGACGGGTGCCTGTGGAGTCAACTTGTACCTGGCGGCTGAGTCTGGTCCTACCTTTACAGCAACATTAGCACTGCTAGCATGAATCGCTACTACATCGAACAGAGCCAGTGGTGCAGTACATCGCTTCTGGGCCACTGCTGAACGCTGGTAGTAAAGCGTCCCCAGCGATTAGCAACGTAATCGAAAGCAACGACGAAGGCAAAGAACGACGGCGACTATGGTGATGATGAGGGCATTCCTCTCTGGCCAGAAGTAGAGATTATTAGCTTTATATTACGGGACAGTAACAAACAATTTATAAGCGAGTGATGTATATAGTGACAAAAACCACACGCGTTTTACTAGATTTCCTCGAATGAAAAGGAGTCTGCTTTCGATGGGAAGAACGAAGCGCAATTCATCATTGGTCCAGTAAATCCTGCGGCGACTGCGTCATGGGCGGTTTGGTGATAATTAAATGAGAAAAACACCGTTTGATTGTGCAACACTTGAGAAGACGTGCGATTACTTTTCAAGGTAATCTTAAGATAACATGGAAAAATCAATCGAAAAAGCGTTACAAAGGCTCTTTTTTAATTCTTCTTAAGATTATTTTATTAATTAATTCATTTGAACATTAATTTTACGAGTATTTGCAAGTGTACTGCATAACTGCGATCTAATGACGTGGTTTTATATTTTAATGGTGGTCTCCCTTAATCTCACTCGTAGCGGACCCATAAGAAAGGCTGTACTTGGTACTTCTATTGTAGCATATAATAAACCAATTGTAGTATTCTTAAATACAAGTATGTTAAGCGTCAATAATAAAAACCGGCATCAGCGAACCATACCAACTGTCCTCTATGATTTTTTTGATCAGATTTCTTCTTATTATTATAGCCAGTGGTTCGAGAGCTGCGGATTATATAGCAGTACTATATTTTCAAATATCTTCTAATTCGCTGTTTTCTTTACTGGACTCGTCCGTAGTCAACCATACACGCTCTGCTGCGTCCGGTTGGTCATAGGAGGGAGCCCCACAACGTTCATATAATAGTGGTTTTATTTGAGGTCTCATAAGAGAAACAGACTCTGTTTGTTGTGTCAAAGAAAAACTAGCTCCTTAACGGAGTACGGTTAGTCTAAGAGTACCGCCCAAGAGCGGAAAAGGTAAACATGGAAGCAGCTTAACTTCTAGCAAGACGACCCCAAACGTTGCGCTCGTCTACAAAAGAAGCGTCCGATTTTAGGACAATTCATGAATAATTGGAACGCTTCAGCAACAAAATTGCTGTGCGTATAATTTTTTATGACCGTGACGCGAACCGTTACGCGAGTTGTCAAAGCCAGCCCCGCAGCTAGCTGCTTGCTATATTTAAAACGTCGCAAATGCCCTGTTGCGTCTATTTGTTTCGCTTTATCGTATTCGTTCTGCAAATAATAACTACAACTACATCGGTTTATGCCATTTTAGGCAAGCATAACAAATTTCACGAGCTCTGAATTGGTCTTTTCTCTTTATTCAACCAGCAGGCAGGTAGATGAGGGTGAGTCCTTGCCGCACAGATGAGGTAACACGTCACGAGGCAGCGGTGGCAGCTTCAACAGCAGCGCTAATATAGCTAACGTCGTTGACAATATGACGGTGATTTGTCGACTCACCGCTACTTGGCATCTCAGACTACCCCGGCTAAAACTAGGAGCCAGTACGGTGGAATAACGGACGGTCGTTCCATCAGTTGGGAATACGACAGAACTGATAGACAAATAAACGGCCTTAGGACGCCAGTTTTACCAGGTGCGAAAAATACGTCGGAAATGTTGTTGTGTATACCTGTTTGGCCTTAACAACGGGAATGTATAAACAGGACTATACTGTCTATCTAAACCGCTAGTCCGCTTGCCTAAAGCTGTTACAAAGAAACCGTGCGTTTTTGTTCGTCTGTTAAACCGTTGGATATTTTCTTGCACTGTGGAGGTTTCAATTGGTACTGTTAATGTGTATCTTAGCTATAATTGATTTACTGCAATATTTGTTTTATATGTAAGGAATCAGAGTTGTGATAGCGAGTCAGCTGTCGCAAAAAACTTTATCGCTAATATGAAAACTGTTAGGAGCGCGGATTGTCGTTTTAAAAGGGCCGGCTTGTAAATTCATGGTATAACGCCTTTGTATATGTGCACAGTTAGGAAAGGTTTTTATTGAACCGTTAAAATACAAGGAACAAACATGAACACTCAAAATGAAACTCGAGTGCTTTGAAGAGGGCCGCTAGTATAGGCGGGTCGTTATCAGATTCTTATGCGGGACCGATGCGTTGATCGAGAGAAACAGGCGAAATCTCTGCTTGTTCCAGCTGCTCACCCGTAAAATAATCCCTTTTTTAAATCAAACATGTATAGATATTATACGTTAGGGGAAGGTAGCTGAATTAGCCTTAAGAAAAATGCTACTGCTATGTTGTGCCGTTGATACACACATCCACGTTTCAGGCCTCAGCCTTATAACAAGCGAGTAACGACCGTTTTGTCATACGTATATTTCTGCGTGGATAGTCATATGATTGCACTTGTCCTATTTACGAGTTATTTGAATCCTGTCGAGGGCAAAGGGAGTGACAAAACCTCTCTTCTTTGTTCCGCAACTGCCAAGCCAGTTCCGACGCGTATGGATAAATTGACATATAGAGCTAGATAAGAAAGACATGAACTAAACGAAACGACAGCGAACAGAACACCACCATCGGTCCCGAAATGGCCTGAACAGATGCTGCTTCATTATGACCACTGGGTGTGTGTTTGAGTAAAAGCGGCTGTCGACCTCTGTATAGTCGTTGTAATGGCGGACGTACCATTTTGTGGTGCCTTACAGGGAACTGATCGTTTGTTTCACAGTTCTCCTATCACTAGGACGAGTTTATCGAGAAAGGAGAAAAGTTAGGAGAAATCAAGATAAAAAGGAATTGAACTGCGCAACAACCCACGGGGATTTTCGTCAGCAATAGTAGCGTTTTACTTTCGTTTTTGGGCATTTACTATTTCTTTTGTGTAGTTTCGCTGCCACTGCTATTGCCGCTCCTAGCAGGTACCATCGCTTTTCAGTGGTCCTTCTAGGCCATCATTCGGCACTCACTCGCTGTCCTTTCGCTTCAGCCCGCCAATTTCGTCCAAAAATGTTAGTAGCGCTGAGTAGTAAGCAAAGTTGTTTTGTTCCTTGTTGTCCTGACTGACTTCTCTTTGTGTTGTTGCTGCTGCTGCTGCACAAATGAAAAATCTATTTTAGTTTCTCATTTATACCTTCGGAATCAACGCCTAGGTTTCTCGATAGATAGATAACAGTTTGTGTTGCGTAGGCGAAGTTATACCTCAATCAGTAGGTCGTCGAAATACCCCATTCGGATTCGGAGTCTGCGTGTATCCGGAAATCAAAAAGTAATCTTTTTGCTGAGACTCGCAATATTGCTTTTTTGGTAAAATGTGGAATCTCTCGAGTTTGGAAACTCATCCTCATGCTGCAGAGCCATCATGGAGTGTGCTATTTATAATTTACTTGTAAAATATTTTGTAGTCATTTTCGGCAATCGTTTGCATCTATCGCACTAGTAATAGGTATTAAATTGAGCTCTGAAGTCCTTATTCTGCTCTGAGTGTCACAGTATTAGGACAGAGGGGGAGGGGTGTGTGTGTATGTGTGTGTGTGTGTGCATGTGTGTGTGTGTGTCTGTGTATGTGTTCAAGTTGTTAGTTTTACGCCTTTTCTAATATATGTGTATGTATATATATATATATATATATAATATAGATATATTATATATGTGTATATATAATATAGATATATTATCGAATAGAATAATAATGATCCTTGTATTAGCTCTGGCCCATGTTTTACGGCAGAAGTACGTTCAAACTCGAGTCAAATCGAACATAATTAGCAATTATCCATACGTATAACATAATATGTCGCCTGTCTTTGTGTGGTAAAGATCTTTTATACTTCCAGCTCAAGGCACAGCTTCAGCGTACTACATATAGTGCTTTTATTAAGTCAATTCCACGTCTATGGCTTTTACTCCATTTGTTTCATTGTTTTACATAGTAGTAAATAACACTCTAACTTTCTACCCTATTTAGCACTATCTTTCTTGTACTGTTTTCTAACCCCGTCTACGGTACAGGTCTCTCTGCGCCCCTGTAAATAGCACATTTAAGGGAGCGATTGCCTTGTGACCCCACTTAGGTGGGGTAGTAGTCTACGGTGAGCCGATCCACGCTTCCATCTACGTGATGAATAAATTGACTGATGTGGGCTGTGTCGTACTTTGCCGACGTATGTAAAACGCAGTTTGACTTTTTTTTAACTTCGGTTTGCAGTAGTCTTATTTTAATGTATCTAGCATTTGTCTCTGGCGACAATATCGGCCACATATGGCTCAGTGAATGAATATAACCTGTTTATCAGCTAAGCAAAAATGGTTCGAAAGGTTTTCCTGTTGCTTCCTATTAAGGTTTTGCATAGCGTAGAACGTTTTCAAATTTAAATAGTAAGATATGATAATATTTAAGTTGAGCTTTCTATTAATGATTTTAATTTTTCCATAAAAAGCAGCTTCACATAGATGAAGGCTATCATACACCCTATGTCATTCATATATCGCATGGAGCTGAAGGAACTACTTGAAATGAATTTTAAGTCTGCGGGTTGCAAAAGTCGGAACAGAAAAGAAAAATGCGCAGAACTTCCTTGACAGATTAGTTATGTGAAAATTGACTAGGTCAGAGAGCCTTGTATATATTCGCTGCGTACATTGGCTGTGACCGTCGTCACAGAATACAAATCAGACCATTAGCGAATACCCATTGGAAAGCTTCATTACTTGTTTCTAATTCAATTGACTTTTGTGACAAGTTCAAAAATTGACAAGTGTACACATGTGGACGTCCATCTTGGTTCTTATGAAACTCAAAAATTAAACAATTCTATTTTACAAAAAAAAACATCATAAAATATTCAACGGTATTTATAAAATCGACTTTTTTATCACTAGGATTATATAGTACTATGGTTTGTTTATCAGCTTGTGGCTTTTAGCACTCCTTGGCAGGCTGACAGCCTTGTTTATTGTTGCCGGAGGTATTTACGAACACTTCATACCGTTTTGGCTGAATTGACTAAATTACACGCGATGGACCTGTTAAGCTGGGCGCACCCGCATGTCGTAATGGATGAAAATAGATTTGAATGAAATGTCTGGTTCCTTAATTATTCTGATACGAGGAAGAACTCAGGTCGTTCCGGTTCCAAACGGTGCCGGTAAGCAAACGAGCTTCGCGCCGGAACAAATCTTGACAGGTAAACTTCGAAGTACGGAAACTCTATTTGACGGACAAGGAAGTAAGCCGTTCGTGAGGGGCTCATTTATGGATAGCATGGGTCTAAAGCTGGATGCATCGGATTAGCCTCTAAGCATCCTTTATGAGCATGAAGACTACGGCGTTATTGCGTTTTTATAGCGTTGTTCTTCCTACCTAAAAGGTAAAGATTGTTTCAGCCTTAGTCATCTATCAAAAGAAAAAGATTAGTTAGCCCCATCGACAGGAATTTGTTTAAATGGTACAGTGTACTAGCTGGAGTGTTAATAGTAGTCTCATAAACATCCGTGCACTCCTATAGTCAATCATACGGCTTTTTTTACGTAGGTCGAATATACAGATACATATATATATATATATATATATATATATATATATGTAATAACTTTTGTAATAAGTCGTGCGTAATTTTTTCAGTCATGACCACTGTCATTCGGATTTTGGGCGCAATTTTGAGAAGTTAAGCAGATATTTCGAAAGGAGTAACTTAAAACATTTTGCCTAGTTAAAAAGCCTTTATCTCACATGTGGCGCTACACACATCGCTATAGTACTATGTGAAATTTTTCTAAAAGTTGAGCGTCTTTATTACGTTCATGGTGTTGAATAACAGATCACCTTCTATAAAGAGGCAAGATACATGGCGTAGCAAACGGTAGTCGTACAATCAAGGAAGCTCTGCTTTGTTTATAAAAAGACGCTTCTGGTTTTCAATTAGACGTCAAAGAATGAGATTGAGCATTAAACACAAAGGTAAAATTCGTTTCACCTAGATAATATTAACTCCGTCTAGGCAGAGAAATTGCACCTTCAATGAAAGTAAGCGGCTTTTTATATATAAGATTATTGTATTATAGCTGTTTGTGTATAGCCTCAACGATGGGTTCGAACAAGGTTTTGTTTTTGTCAGCCGCCTCTGCCAAGGAAGCCAAAGAGAGGGAGAACGAAGATTAAACAACTCATTGTCGTATAATATGTTTAGGTTGTCCCTGAGCCCTTGGTCGTTGTAAGTCGTCCCTAAGTCCTCGGTCCGCTGTAACGGCGCCTCGGCGCCCAGAACAATTGCAACTGGAGGCAGGCCGTTAGGTGATCGATAATAGACCGTATATCTATTCCAGACAATATGTTGCTTCGATTACTGCTGCAGCGACTTCTGCTTTGTCTGGTGCTGTGCTCACTTCCCGGTCACCTTAGTCAGTTAATTACTCTGTCAGCGAGTCTTCACGCAAAAGAAGAGTCAGAGACGCAGTAAACTTAACATCCCGTGAAGGAAGCCTCTTTGGGCCGTTTTTCATTTTCGAATCTGTTGGCGATTTTGCTAACTAAAAAGCGGTAAGCTATTTCACCCGTCGATATTTACACCGCTCCGGTTTGTTCAGGAAGCTAGGTTGAGTATGAAAAACATTTTTACAATGATAGTAATAGTATTGATCGGAAAGCGTCACCTCAGAACGTACCTGCCAACCGCTCCTCACTAAGGTATAGAAGCATCGATTAGTTTTATAGGGTAAACAGTTGATTGAGATCAATAGCCAAACTGGTTATGACAGTATACGGCCAGATGATTACCACTTACGCTAGGTTATTTACGTCGGACACAATTAATTGGTGCGAACTATAATGTATTGGATTGAAGTGAGTATACTGGAATACTTCGAATCTCTGCGTCCGACACTGCCAAGAGGCATTGCGGAATGTGCCACGGCGGGTTTCGAGTTCAGACCATTATGTATCCATTCCTATGTTTAGTAGATAAACACGTTACCACAGGACTATTATAGACACAGGTGTGAGCCTACGCGTTCGAAAGTACGACTCGTCATTTCTTTCTATTCCGTAATAGAACACTCTAACATACTGAATACATATTTGATGATAGCGGCGCTTTCCTTAACTCTCGCATCATCAATGAAGATCCCACATGGGGTAAGTATTGAAGACGGGCATTTGGATCAATTTTACAATCGCCTTGCAGAAAAATTTTGACTTCGCATTTCAGTATCGGTCTTACTATTTGAATATATATGCTCACGAGAGCGTCGTTTCCACCGTTAACCCTTACATTTTAAATCAAAATGCCAATAGAGTAGATATTTATTCATTCATTCTAAATTCAGTGATGGTTTCCTTGGGTATTATTTTTGTTGTGGATTTTCGTGTCGGCATATGGGGACCTGTTTAGATATTTCGAAAGCCCTGATAGAGAGATTGGTAACAGCGGAAATTGCCGGTTTCGGGTAATCGCCAAAATTTAAAATTTCGGCGGGAGTTCATTTAACCTAGAGCTATTGCACAATTGCTGATCTTCGCTTATATTCAAGAAATAAACTTTCTCGCCTCTGCCATGAACAGTCTGTGGTTCTGTTCTACAACTAACCCGTTTTCTTCTAGTGTAGAGGCTCAAGCGTAAAGTCATGTCCCCTATGACGAACAAACAAACCGCTCAAAAAGCGTGTCCCTTTTAGGGCGGTAGTCGCCTGGCAACATAGAGCCCAGAGTACGCGAATAGCCCAAGGGAACTTATAAATCATTCATCGAGAAATTTGCCCCACTAAATTAAATGAATTACCTGGTTTGGTCTTAAAAAACAACATAGCATTTCTGGGCGCTGTATTGGCAAAAATTTCGCTAATTTAGAGAAAAAACAACTAGGTGAGTAAATTTTTAATTGACTTAGAAGACTAGATGAAAAAGCTTCAGCATTACTCCAAGGTAAATGCCCTAACGGGACAATGCGGCAGAGTTTGAATGTTGGATTATGCCTATGTTTTGTCATAATAGAAAGATTTACACTTTTATTCGGAATAAAATAAATATAATACTGATCTTATATAAATATGTAAAACTATGCTGTCCCATTTGCACAATATAAGCCTAGTAGAATAGCAAAATAAGTTGTTGCGTATATATGCCTTTGGTCAGAGTAAGACATGTACATAAAGCTAGGCATAGAAAAAAGTGTACATTTAGGTGGGTAGCATCACACTCAGGGAAACAGACCAACTAAAGCCCCGAAACGTTACCATGGCAAAATGTCTTCTGATGATGACGTTTTTAAGCTTGAAGTCTTTTTATACCTGCTCAACTGTTCGGGACTGTCGACGATCAATATAGACACCTATTTGGCATGAATGCGAAACGGCAAAGTAAAGCTTGTGAGCTAATCCCAGTCACCCAGGGTCGGTCGGAACCAGCATATATATACTGTGACAAGGCGTGATTAAATATCAACGTTATAGAGGTTATATTTAATACACAAGAGCCATCAAAGACTTACGAGACTCTCTCATATGTTCAAAACAATTAAATAGACGCTTTTAATACTGCCTCTTGCAGGTTTATGGCTCAAGCTTGTAAAGAGTGAAAATTTTTATAAATGGGTTTTCAATAGGGATAATTAATGCCTCTAGGTTTGGGCATGGCGACGTCATCAAGCCATGTCCAACAAGCAGATTCTACGCCATTCCAGATAAGAGCCTTCGAGCCACTAGCACACGTCTTGGTTATACAATATTTCTGTTATGACAGCCGCAAGTTTGACATGATATCATGTTAATTTGTGAGGTTTTTTATACAAGGTGTGAAATAAATATAATAAAATTTGTATTTTAATATCTTCATCCGTTCATCAATGGTAAGAGAACGGAGCTTCTATGATGCGTGCTTCATTTCATGTTCTGGCAAGACGCATTTCGAAAAGTACCAAGCATCAGGGATATCTATTGATTTCGTAGCGATTACAGAGCTAGTCTGTGTCGCAGTTCGCTTGCACAGCCCTACAATGTACAACTCAAACATGAAGGGCAGACGCCGAGTGTAAATTTGTACATACAACGGGTAGAAAGATAGTCCAATAGTTGACTCTGTGAAAATATCACAGCCATTGAAAAACCAAACCTACGATGGGCAAACGGGTCGATTAATCTCGCGATAAATACGCGCGCAGTCCTTTGCAAGCCAAGCGAAAAAAGTAACTCATTAACGCTTTATATTCGTCTATTTATAGCAATGGACGTTTTATGTGCAGGACGGTGAAACTCAAGGACGCTGAAATATGACATCGGTTATGATTTGAGTAATGGATTACACCATAGAAGACTTTGTACCTGACTTGGCTCTTTCGAAGCGAAGAGATAGGCCGTATCAAGTGGCAGGCCGATTATATATTTGTTGCATAAAATGAACGTCTTTTTAGCGTGGCGAAAAATTCGTTTCTGACTTAGAACTTTAGTTATGGTAGGGCAAAGGCTTGTCGTCCTGAACTACGAGCGTATAAAATTTCATGGAAATATATGAAAATATTCGCTTTTAGGGTATATCATCGTTTTCAGCAGAGGATCAAAGTTGAACCTTTTCCAAATGGTCAGCGTGATGGAGAAGATTCTCCCGCTGGAATCGATCACTACGAAATAAATACAGATTTCATCAATAGCTAATTATCTATATAATAACGCCAGTAGCTTATGAAACAAACATTTTAGGTTACTAACAGCTAAATTTTACTACGGCCCCAAGGCAAATGTTTTCCTGGTCTTACCCTTCAGGTTCGTGTCCTATATAAGGGGTGTCTCGAATCCAAAAAGCGACCGGAAGTTTCTTGAGTGAAACGATTTACCCAATAGGAAACACGAAGTTGGTTTGAATGATTAATGTTTTGTGATAGACGTCAATCGTCACATGAGCTAAAACCAGCCGCGTTTTGCTCGACTGACCTCTTCCATGATGGGTGCGAACATATTAGTCAATCTTTTCCACAAAATTACTTACAGAAACTTACTGTATCGTAAGCTACGCTTATGCAATCGTTGTTTACATACAGTGTGCGTATTGCTATTGTTAATCGATAGATGTCGACTAACACAGACACACACACACACACACACACATATGTGTTAAGAAAACTTTTCTTTCAATTTAACAACTTTTAGATGAGCGACAGGTAACTTGCTTTCATGCATTTCCGCCACGTTATCTATCCATCAAATAAATAAACCTTTCGAGTTCTACTTCGCGTACTTCAGTCGTTAAGCATTGTTTCACCAGTATTGAAACTAGGTTATCACATGTCCCTAAGTTTAATAGGCAAACACGGTATTACTGCAGCATCATGAGATATATTTACAAGTACAAAGCAACACGTTTCACATGTTGGGAGTTATATACCCGTGTGTCATTTTGAACGCCGAAGTTCACTATAAATTAAGTAGAAACCTAATCTATGTTTATATATATATATATCTGCATAGAAAACTGCTATCCAAATTAATTACTTATTTATAATAACATTCATTCGTAAATTACATCCGTTTTTGTTAAAAAAAAAAAAGCTTGCACGTGTCAACATAGATCTACCTAGCCCTGACCACCCAATCTCAAAATACTGGAACTGAGTGTCAATTTTTAACCTTTAAAGTGATACCATCCTTTCACCTCCCCGACACTCAATGGTCAGCCAATGTAGCGTTGCTCTGGTGGAAACTAGCTGACTAAGTGATAAATAAGCCGCAATACTGATGCTGTTGGTTAGGTTGCTGATCGCTTCCGTGACCGCTTTTCGCCCGTTGCGTCGACGTAGGATTTCCTCTCGGTGCTTTTGACGCACGTAGCCCCTTTGCAGTCTATCAATTAACGTTGTGCGGGTGTTGGCCGCTACCGCTACTGCGCTAAGACAAGACCGCTACCGTGTCTGCAAGGATCGATGTTACGAGTGGTCGTGTAGGGAGTAAAGAATCCAGCACGTATTGTCCTCAACGCATCCTTGACACGACCTGTAGCCTTCAACCGGTCAACCTGAAATGGGGCCTTCCGCGTTTTGCTGATTTGACTCGTGTGCTAGATTAAATAGATATGACACATTCACATGTAGATTGTTGATATATTCTCTAAACTGATGAAGCGTTAAGGCAAATTAATATGTATCTGCGTTAGGCGTGACTTTTGCCAAACAGCGCCGCGCCAGTTGCAGAATCTATACAAAAAATTGTTCGTATTCGTTAGCATAAAGGCGTGCTGTAACACGTTAGGCACATTTGTTAAAGCAATAGTTTTCATAGAAATGTACATTTGTATATTTGATAACATATCAGCGTTGAGGTCCATTTGTAGCTGATGGTGCGGCACTGTTTTCAAGTGTGGGAAAGAACTGATAACCCTAGTTTATAAATAAAACTAACACGTTTCGCAAGGAAAAAAGTTCGTCCTATAAGAGAAACACGCTTACCCAATCGGGCTCGCCTCCGCACAGCTTCTTCGCAGGGCAAAACTTCAGTCAAGCGACAAAACAGCAGCCCAATTCGTGCACCTAAAAAATCGATATGGGTCGAACAAATTAGCCATAAATTCGGAAAAATTCATATAATCTGACTCGTCTTAGATAATAGGTCGGTGCCCTCTCAGATGCTTGCATCTAGGCCATCCAACAGTAATACATAGGACTTTCTAACATGAAAGTCGGGTCGACAGCCTGAGTCCGTCATTTTTCGAATGTTGGCGGCGGACTCAGTTTCGAACAAAGGTTTTACTACATAATGGTGTGTTGAATAGATACTTGCATACATTTGTAAAGCCATGTATCGTCGTTGAACGCTAGTTACTACTGTGACGTCGACCTGACAAGGGTTGTTATATAATAATAATACTAATAAAAATTCTCATTTGAGAGAGTGGCGACGGCCTAATGCCCTGTTCGATATGTCATTGTTCCATGTTCTCAGTCATTTTATGGTCTTCTTCACCCCTCTCCCAAAGCCATTTTTCCGTGCTTTTCTCCCATTCGGATTTCGTTCGATCCTTAGTCCTCGTCGTCCGTGGCGTTGTTGTTGAAGTCGTCCAAGCAAGTTAAACTCATCTTTGGGATCGACATATTTACAAAATTTCGAAAATAAAAAAGTTCTCTTGCACACTAAATTCGCACACAATAAAGGGTATCATGACGACACGAATGCAATCTATATTGGCGCATCGATCTCTGACACAAAAAAAGAACTTTCTGCATAGAGAATAGCTCATTATCATTATATGACAAGACAAATTAGTAGTTATCCCATAGGTTCGATAATGACCAAAAAAAAAATGATGACAAATTCATTGGCAGTGCGGAGTGCACAAAAATACTAACGCTTATAACAAACAATCATTGGCCGATTGTGAGTAAAGATATTGCCATCTTGTTAGGAACACGTTCCAAATGTGTAGAGTTGGGAAAATTGAGATAAGGCATGTTCCGCGAAAATTGTTTAGAGGGAATCTTTGCCAGTTCGAACTCCTCGATTCGTTTGATCATCTTCATTAAGAATTGTTGTCGTTGTCAGTCACATACAGCGACAAAATAACTCTAGGACTTTAAATTATTTGAAGGTAAGTCCTGTAATGAGCAGGTAGCAAAAGTGTCGGAAATATCTTAGCGTCATGAAATCATTAGGAAACTAAAAAAAATGTTTCAGAATTATCGAAAATAAAAAATTTAAAAAAACAAACGATTTCTCTTTGACTGTTACCGCGAGCAGCCTGTGACAGGTTGCGAAGTCCGTTTTTAGGTAGATGCGTGACGTCATCAGGGTGGTTCGAAGGTTCAATACAAGGCTACGGCTTCAGCTAAAAGGTGACGAACTGCAGCACTCGTTAGGGATAGTCCAGTACAGCTTTAAAAGTGCCATTTTTCGTTGAAGGAAAGCCCCGTATCACATACATAATGATATGCGCTAGCTAATATATATCCTGTGGCTGTATAATTATTTGTTCTTTGAACGCAGATAATTTTCATGTTAAATGTAAACTTTTTGTAAAGTTGACAGATGCTTTAAATGGTGTTTTGCTGCTTCAGACAAATCACTTAAGCGGATTACCGAATGGCTTTTTGCAGCAACTTTGTCCGGACCGGGCATAGAAATCAGCCAACCTGGAGAACCTAAACGGCACGCTTTAATCTAAGAATACTGACATCTTATAATGACTGACACCAATGTTTTTGATATTTGATCAAAAGACACTTTATCACCTCGAAGAGGACAGCCAGCTTCTTGGAAAACCTCTTTCGTTGACAACACAACAAGTTGGAGACTCAATGTAACTGTACATTGGATATCGCCTGTTTATGCGATGGAACGGGCGATCGTAATGCGACAAGCGTTTAACGAAACCTCACAATTTTCCATTCCGCTTGAACGGATACGACGTCGCTCATCTTCAAACAATTCCAGTGACCTACTTCATACATTTCGTCTAGATGGATTTAGTCTTTGGCAGGTTAGAGGTACCTGGAGATGTAGTAACGCCTAAGGTCACGTAATATTTGTTTCGTCACCATTAGGTGTATCCATGTCACTAAAAACGTTCCCTTTCACAATATCTAACAGCCAGATATTCATAGGCTCGAATTGTGTTCGCGGAACAGTATTTTCGAGGGTACGTTTTCCACGCTGATTTTAGTTTGCCATTAGAGATACTTATATATCTATAAATAGTCGCTATTGTTACCGCAACGGCGATAGTAAACTGAGTTTTTTGACAATCATTTTAAAAATTATTCAAAACTCTAAATGGAAAACGATTTAGCTGATGCTACAAAAGTAGTTGCAGTAATTATATATATATATGCGCGTCTTTTCACGACGAATCATAGGAATTACAGGGACATTCGTTGAGAACCTATTCATGGCCCAGTGCTGACTGCTGGTTTCGACTTAGACTATTGATTATGGCTCTGTTCTGGACATAAGTTAAAATATCTTTGACTATAAAGAGCCTAATTTGTAATTTTCATTGCGTATACTACAGAACACACCCTTCTCTATTTGAAGGGGGCACGTCAGGGAGGTAAAGCGTAAGCATTTCAGTGTTTTCAGAAACAAAACGGAAGAGCGTATTTTCGCAATCGTTACTTGAAAATTATCAAGTTTGTTTAGATTGAGTGCTAAGATGGAATTCGTATAGTTCAAATATGTAGCGAGATTGTCCCCTGTCCTGTTTTGGTAGTTCCTCTTATTTACGTCGTGTGCAAAACAGTATAGGCTATTGGGATTTTCTGCTCAACCACTTACGTTAACGGTGACAAAGACGTGATTCCTCATTGTCTTCACTCATACTTCCAGTAAACCTAATTAAGACATGTTGCATAGGAAAATATGGCTTCAAAATATGTTCATAACATTTCCTGAACTCTAACCAAAACTGAACAAATAGCTATTTACTGTGAAATATACTGTCCTATGTGTCCTGCCAAGGCAGGAAATAGAATGCTATCCATTTCGTCCTTAACACGTGTTCTTGTTATTGCAGAGGTAAAAAGTATTTACTGAATTTTCACATTTTTAGTCGAATGTCTAGTTTAACTAACGGATCTAGATTCTGCATAATCAAATGATCGAGTACTGGCAAGTTCTTTAGCGACGATCCTCTCAAAGACGGTTGCTACTGAATATGCTCTAATGACCTGAGACACTTTTCCAAGCCCCAGTACCTACACACTTCGTTGAAACAAACTGCATAGATCTCTTCCTGAATATCAACTACCCTTTTATCTGGGCTGTACTTTGTCTTGGATTCAGCCCGGAACCTAGATTAGACCATCCAGACCGTAACTATGAGACACGCCAGGCTTTCTGAAATGCTGTTCCTTCTGCTGCTTGGCCTATAACTCCTAACGCTGATTCGCTCCCTGATCTTACGAGTAGCTTCTTTTTCAGTTCAATGAATGTCGGGGTAAGGTCATGATGTGAATAGTGCAAAACAGGCTAAATTACTTGTGAATAGGCGGCCCGAAGAACAAAAAGAGTCAAAAGGCGAAATAGGGAAGTTACATGTTTGGCAGTTTTGTGTATCGTGGGCGAAATGGCGGCTTAATCCATTAACCGACCACAAAAGACCCTACATAAACCACAGGAAATGGAAAATCTAATGAGAAACACCTATTGTCCTTACCGGTGTGCCACTACACACGTAAAGGAGAATTGGACGTCGAGAAGGCGAACATCACTGTAAAGCGGGGATAGCAGTAGACACAGTCTTTATCTCTGCGTATCTTGGCATGGTGAATTTTCAACGTGAAAATCGATTTGAGGAAAATCGAAGCGGACCGGTCGGATTATACAACAGAAAGGCGAACAAAAACAGAGGTCGAAGCATCGCTGCCAATGCCCCTTTTAGCTTCTAACAGCGCTATGCCTCACCTGCTGTAGCATTTTCGCAAGCCTTTTTCCTTCCTCTGAAACAATCAACCCTAAACTCATTCACGCTTCATTGCCGAATGATGTCGTATAGTCGTGTTTTTCCTCTCTTTTCAGGGGACTACTGATGGAAGAAAAAGAACTATACTGTTGGTTACATTGGCTTTGCGGAGTGATATTATAGGGTTTGTTAGTAAATAACGCATGAATATATATGTGGCATGAACGAGTTGCTTTGGGAACTAAGCTAGTAAGGACCCCTTTGCTTTTTCTAAGCGGTTACTATCGAAGTCGAGCGTCTCCAGTTGTAGAAGACAGCTTGATAGATACTAGCGTTCATATATCACAAACGAGCAGCGGTTACATGCGTTGTTTTTAGTGGGATGTGCTCGTATGGGCGAGGACATGCCTGTACGTAAGTGCATACATATGTGCTCCATCTTTTTGCTGTATTACCCCGTGTCCGTAGTCTGCCTTTTTTCTCCCTCTTTTTGCTTTTTCAACCGCTTTGGTAGTGCTTCTTCTTGTGAAAAGTCCACCTCTTCCCTTGCTTTCTAGAACCATATTTCGTGTCCCTATGCGGCAAAGATGTCTAAGGCCGGCCCAAATATTTTTGCTCCAACGAGCTGTATCTGTCGCCGACAGAGATCCGCCCGACAGTATGGACGGCTTGTTCGTTCGCCCTTCGTTGGCTGCGATCAATGAGAATGGGCTTAAGCAGTTGCAGCGCCAGAGTGCTGGGCAGTAAGCAACGCTGGCCCGCATCCATGCTGGACCTGCTTTGCTGAATAGGTTGTGTGCTGTCGACCGACACAGTCAACATCCACTGACCATTGACTTCGGAAAAACCTAACAACAACGACTACTAAGTTCTCTGTCTTCCGCAATCGATTAACTGGCTAGGGCTTTCTTCAAGCTACTCAAGTCACTAACGCGTTGTTGTTGGACGTGAGGAAGCGCGGTAAAAGCGAAGGCTGTTGGCAGAACAGCGCTATGGTAGCAAGGCTCCGAAGGTAGCCAAAGCAAGGGCTCGTTCGTTTCGTTTAATAGACTTATCGTTAGAAAACGTTCCGAAGGAGTATATCGCCAATTACAAGTAAGGGTACCATATGACTCGTAGAACTTTCTGCTTAAAGCT